CCTTCCTCCTGCATCCACTCTTTGTTCAATTTCTCCCCCTGATTTTTGTATTGGATGAGTACCTGCTTTAGATTTGATAATTGTGAGAATATAACGATGGTTATCTCTTGATGAGTACTCGCCGCATGATTTTCCGAGTGCATGTCCAAGTTCATTCGCATGTGAAAGGATTTTGCCTGATAGATGTTTGTGATAATGCTCCTAGGGGCAAATGCTTACAAATTGTAGTTTTTTTTCCAGATGAGCAACTGTTTTGGTTTAAACATGTTAGCAGTGAAACACGCGATGACTGATGATATATGAGAAGGAAAAAGATTAAGTTGTTTTATCTGCACTGCATTGACCTGAAAAATCAAAGCTTTACAGTAGCATGCAATTTGAGAGAGCAGGAGCTTTGTCTTGGTTATACTGGCTGAAATGGGTTAACACATTACATTAGTACTAGTGGCATGGTTGGCATGATAGATGTCGCAAATATTGTTTATGATTGGGAATATGGTGGTACTGTTACACTGTGTTGTTTTTTATTTTAACAGTCAGACTTGAAATATTACCGTTTAAAGTGACTGTTTCTCCTTTTTCGTGTTAGCTGATTGATCTTCAGGTTGCACCTTCCGTGTTATGCCATGATAGATGTACATCTAACTAATGATTTGATTTGCTGCTCCATATTCATTTTGCACTCACTAGAAGTCTAATTCTATCCCTTTGGAACTTGTAGTTGGAACAGGGCATCGACGTTGTCAATTGGAGGGGCTTGGAGCTGCTTTGGCATCTACAGTAGAGCAAACTAGAAGGTAATCTGCTGTTCCTAGCTTCTTATACATATATTTTTTTGTGAACTAAAAAAATAGTAAAATGTATTCCCGCTTTTCCAAAGCGAATTTACGTATCCATATCAGCCCGATGCTGATACACGTATCCGTAACAGTGCATTTTAGTATGTCTGTTTGCTTAAAGAAAAGGCTGATTATTCAAGTATAATGTGATAGCTGATTAGAACATTCTACCGTGTCCAAGTTCCACATTGTAATTTTGTAGGCTCGGTAATATTTTGTACATCACTCATATGCGTTTGTGTGCTTGCTTCAAACTAACATCAGGTAACTCTGAGCCATACTTGCATGTAAAAGTTGAAATTCTTGTGCAAACAATAACTGGATTATTAATGAAGTTATCAAAAATTTAGATCCCCCCTCCCACCTCCTCTCGATAAACACAGCTTGCATGTAGCACTGCTCGATTCCCTAAACAGTATCATCTTTTCAACAATAAATAGAAACATCGTAAAGACATGCAAATGGTAAAGTGGTACTGTATATTACAACTGAAGTTTTATGCTGTATACTTCTAAAATGAAATGTATAGTGGAACTATTTGGATATACTCCTTTCAACCTTGGTCAAAATGGTTATATGTTGCCACACATCATTGTGCATGCATCTACGGTTGTGAAGAGCTATTCCTCATACGGGACTTTTGTGCAGTGGGGTAACATGTACCACAAACTGGTCGTTCCCCAGTTCTGTAAACTGCAGTTAACCGATGTCACCTCACTAGAAAATTTGTTTTCTAGTTCAACCTAAAATCTATTCATGTTCTCCATGTCTCATGATCTGCAGCTTGCTTCCGTTCTCTGAATTACTTTTAACTGTTAGTGTCTTTATATGTGTGCTTTTTACTCTGCAATATATATTCTCCACCATTACTATTGAGGAAGTATAATTTTCTGCACCTTTCATGTCCATTCAACATTGGACTTCTCTACTTGTGTTTTACATCTTTGGCTGTTTGTTTCTTAAGCTCGTCCAGAACTCAATTCCTCTTCACCAATATTATTTTTTAATTATGCTTTATTGCTTCCAACTTCAGGTTATGTTTGCAGACATAGATTTTAGAAAGCACCAACCTTCTGGTAATGCAACCTCTACTAGTATGGTGCCCCTGGATGTTCCAAGTCAGGCACCTGAGAAGATTAATTCTCTGAATCAAGTGATTTCAGCAGATGTACCATGCGAGGCTCCTGTTGATTTTGATACGAGAGAACTTTACTTTCTCATTGCGCACTTCTTATCACATGGTCCATTAAAGCGGACTGCTGGAGAACTTTGCAGTGAACTCCAGGAGCATCATCTGCTTCCTAGAAGATATCATGCTTGGTATTCACGTGGTGGTTTCCATAGTGGCGAAGAAAATGATGACGGTGTATCACTCCCTTTGGATTACCTCAAGTTAGTTGAGAGGTAGAAAATGCATCACTCTATTTTTTTGGTCAGCTTGCATCTATTATTATTCATTATTATCCTTGTACTAAACATATTTGAAAGGGATGAACTTAGTAGATTCTGCAAGTAATGAAGAACTGGAGATGCTTCCGTGTTGTTTGAATTCTTTAGGAAAGGACTGGAAAATAGTTTAATACATATCCAGTATATAATGGTGATATATCCATTTTGTTTTCTCATGTGGAGCACAAGTTTCCTCCAGCTTTTTTCGAACTTATTAACAATGATTCTCAGTCAGTATTTTTGTGCGACTAATCTAGAACTGATGAAACACATGATTCTGAATTGTAATTATTGTTTGGTAAAGGCTAGCCATATAATAATTAGCATAAAACAGATTATTACCAGAACAATTAACTTCTTATCTGCCTTTTTTTCTTTCTTAATGATCACATGCAATTGAGGTTTTTGCATACTAAGGTCTATGTTTCTTATTTTGTAGATATCCCCACATTGGTAAAGACCACTTGGTAAAGCTTTTAAAGCAACTGATGGTTAGTTCCTGCCACCCAGAGAGCTTGATTGGAGCTGTGTCTCCAAATGCTGCTGATGTTCCAACCCTTCTTGGCTCCAACTCATTTTCCCTTCTTGCATGTATGTAC